TTAAATAATGAGTGCACTCCTTCTTGTTGGTTAAATAATTTTTAAATATTTTTTTTTTCTAACTGCATTTCTGTCACAGGTGACACAATTAATTATAGGGCTGGTATAAGATTTTTCCAAGGCTGCTTTTTATTCCCAGTCTGGCACTGGGTCTGTCTCGGGTCCTGGGCACCTTCATTCCGGGATTATGACAGCGCCACAGGCCTCCATTTGCAGCTTGTCGAAGATGTGCGAGCGGACACCCTCCCTCGTCTCCCAGCGCTATGAGGAAGTGAGGTCACACGCGTTGACATCACTTCCTACCAGCACTCTTTGCAGACGGCCATGTGGGAGGAAAGAGAGAGGAGATCCCAGGACCAGGTAAGTGCATGGATTGAGGGAGGGGGTGAAATCTTTATCATGGAATCACTAGTACTACTAGTGATTTCATGATAAAGATTTCACCCGCATTCCTCTCAGTGAGTCAATAGTGGGGGGGTGGACATGAAATGGGGGAATATAAATGAAATGAGGGGGTGGTGGGGAAATAGACATGAAATATGAGGGAGATCAGAAATATGGGGGAATGGACATAAAATATAGGGGGATTAAATATGGGGGGGATTGGACGCTGAAACCCACGCTACGCCGCGTGGGGCATGTGTGTTTGTGCTTTAGGATGCACACCCTAATGCAATAGGCTACGCATGACTATAACAAAATTATTGAGGGTTAGCCACCAAACTGTGAATTGTCATAAATTGACTAGGAAATTTCAAATGTTAGGGCCAAGGCAGTCAAACTGAAAAAAAAAAAAAAAAAACAACAATATTTTAATAGCATCTATATTACACATCTCTGCGTAAAACTTTCCCTGACGCAATGCCGATCAGAGTGGGAAGCAATTTAGAAACTCCTCCAGGGAATATTACGTTGGTAAAGTTTTAGTAAATATATAAGAGTCCAACTTGTTATCTAAAACAATGCATTTTACTTCTATTAAATGCTATTATCCTATGAGCTATCTCATTTGTCGTAAGGAGACAATGACTGGACTTGTCTAAAATTTTTAACTTTTAACCCCTTAAGGACACATGACGTGTGACATGTTATGATTCCCTTTTATTCCAGAAGTTTGGTCCTTAAGGGGTTAAAGTTTTTACACCCATAGGGCGCATTTAAAAATAATCTACAGGAAACTTTTCATATCTACATTTGATTATTGCTTTCATGCTAACTTTTGTATTAATGTCTCTGATTTTGAGAGTGCCTGTTTTTCTCACCATATGACGACAACTGTAACATTAATACCAGACCAAATTTTATTCAAGAGGGATCCTAAAACTTCCGAAACCTCTTGAGTCAATACACATACTGTGTGCATCATTTGATTCTTTTAAAACCTAGAAATTTTATATTATAAAAGTGTTCCTTATGCAATATCTTTTATTATTTGGTGAGAGGAGAAACTTGGCTTAAAACAAAATGTATGCAGAGCAGGAAATCAACTGCTATGTGAAGTTGAGTGATTAATAAAGGTCAGAGCATGAACAAGATATTAATAGAAACGGTTACGCTAACAAAGCTAAGGGCTTCTTACAAATACTGATCACACAAACACATGCTATGTTTCTCTGCGTACACAGCAACCTGCATGACCGGTGTATAGTCGCCATATGGGCAGTCGGACTCCAGGACAACCCTCCCACATACCTAACCCAATAATGCACTGACAATCGGGTATATGGGAAAATTTGTCCACAGCTTTATTAAACAATCTGAATAATAATAACCATATATTCAATATAACATAATAATAGTAATAATTTAACAAATAAACATGGGTCATTGCCCCCCATACTCCACCCTCGCATCCAATTCCTTCTGTTAATATAAAAGGCAATGACCCCCATATAAATAACACATATGTATAACATATACCAACATTATTCCAACATACCAACTTAAAGTGCCAACATAAATTTCACCATGGCAGGGGTATACCCGGATACCCGTACCCCACCAGGTTCTGAGCCACCGACAGGACTCGAAACCTACCAACCACCAATGACCACAGTTTTCCATATCTGTCACGTTCATCCTAGGGAGCCTATTCCTTCTCCTTCAGCTCCCTATCCCGCCGCTGTGAAAAAACGGGATATCCCCTAACCATAAACAATATCTATAGGGAGGGTGGGCGGGACAAACTTGGTCAGGTAGGAAATTAGAAGTGAGCTCACTTAAAATGGCTGCCTATTTAAATAGCCCAGCCTACTTACCCATAACTCCATACTTCCTCCCCTCCTCCTATGCCTGCCTCCTAACCCCTGTCAAGGCCCTTTTTCGCTTAGCTGTGCTTTGGCTACATGGGGCTACAAAATGTTTCAAGAGATAGCTAATATTGCTCGTTGGTCACAATTAACCCTTAATTATCAATTTACCCCATAGCTGGTACACTGGTACCATTCAGCAAATTCCAGCATATTGCGTTATCAACGCTCACACTGGTTTAATAGGTAATCACCAAGTTGAAAAGGCAGTTGCCATTTGTCATTGTAATTTGCACCATTGAATAACACATTGAAAATAACCCAAAACTTGTTTTGAGCTTCTTCTAACGAGATACTCCATTTTCTTTTAAAATGTATTAAAGTTTTAGCAAATTATAGCATAAACCAAGTTAGTTTAGGTCCATTTTTTTCTATGTTTGTTTCTATGGGTTGGGCAGGATAAGCTACAAAATGTGAGCGGGGGGAGTGGAAGTAGATTAAGATGCTCTAGTCATTGCTTATGTGTGTGGCAAAATAAAAATCTGTAACTCTGTAATAGAGTTCAGATTGGTGGTGGTTTGGCGAAGATTTCTTTAAAGTAACTGGGCATGTAAAAAAAATAAAAAAAAAGAGGACAGAAATCTGCCCTACTTCAGCAGGTCCTTGCACGTGCCTAGTTTCCTTGAAGAATAAATTTTAGAGGCTCCCTTTGAGTTGCAATTTGAGTAATTTGGTCTTATTAAGCAAGGCAATTTTACACATATATATATATATATATAGAGAGAGAGAAAGAGAGAGAGAGAGAGAGAGAGAGAGAGAGAGAGAGAGATCATTAAAACTATTACTGTCAGAAATGTCTGCCAACTCCTACTGCACAATGTAGGCTCACTTGCACAGGACACACCGTCTTCATTAAAGTGCCAAATTTTCATTTATCCACATCATTAGTGTTTTCAGATCTCGAACACTAATGATGTGGCTAGTTGAAGAGTTGTGAAGCTCCACACTGCAGGACTGACTCTAAGGACTAGGCGGATTCTGTTTCAATATATAATAATTGCTTCAGTTAACCATGACAAATACACATTGGCTCCATAATAGTTCTGAGCACTGTTCAGATTGTCACTGCCAGCTACAAAGGAAATAGGGAGTTTATCAGAATCTTGTTGCCTTAACTCAATGCATACTGTTGGTTGAGAACTGGCCCTGCACTGATATCTTATGCTCTAAGCAACTTTCTAGTTCTGATCAATCTGTAGTAAAACTAATACAGCTATCAGTGCACTCCAAGCTCACAGGACGTAATGTTCACCTGGTTAAAGCAGCAGGACACTTATATATTCCAAATTATTCCTGTAGATGTCATAATGATCAATCTGCAGTGGTAATTGTTAGTCAGGAGTAGCTGACATGTTTTATAGGAGCAGCAACTGTCAGCCTCCTCCCACTTACCTTGTCGGTCTGCTGACGCCGGGATCAGTCGGACTGCCACTCACGCCTTGAGAGGCTTCACTGATCCTCAGGGATACCTGTTGCTATGTGCCCGCCCCTTTTTAATGACACAGCGCATGCGTGCCGGTGTCATGAAGTCAGGAGATCTCTATACAACAAAGCCCAGCGTACCTTTTGGGGCGTGGTTAATATAATCATGCCCCCAATAATATAAAAGCCCAGTCTGCCCTAAAAACAGTGGCCTGTTTGTTGTTCCTAGTGTGCCTTATGTTACTAGTGTCCCTTTAGTGCGTTCCTGTACCCTTTTGTGATAGTCAGGGGCGTACCTAGAGCATTTGGCACCCGGGGCGGATCCTATGCTTGGCACCCCCCCCAAAAAAAAAAAAAACCTGTAAAAAATGTTAAAGGTTTTCTTTCTTTTTTTTTTACAATTTGTAAACTTTGCAAATCCGCTGTCAGCCCCTCCTACAAAACCCTTGTCCTGCCCCGCCCCTCCTACAAAACCTCTGTCCTGCCCCTTCTACAAATCCTGTACTGCCCCTGTCTACAAAAACCCCCTTCCACAAATCCCCTGCTTATCCCCCCTTATAAAGACTCCTGTCCCAATACAAAACCCCCGCCCCCTTCTACAAAATCCCTGCAACCCCACACACACATTTTCAGGCAGACAGTCACACACTCAGTTACAGACAGTAACACACTGTTACTGGCAGACAGTCACACACAGTCACAGGCAGACAGTCACACATACACATTTCCTCTGTGCGGCCAGTTTATCAGCTGTTTGCGGCCAGTTTATCAGCCCCCTCCAGCCAGGGCCGGTGCAAGGATTTGTGACATCACAATACCCCACCCATATGATTTGCCATGTTAACTAACGCCAGTGCTGCAGTGCCGCCGTGTTTACATTAAAAGGCCTGCAGGGACAGGCTATAGACACCAGAACCACTACATTAAGCTGAAGTGGTTCTGGGGACTATAGTGTTTCTTTAATGTGAGGTAAATTAGAGCTTAGTGCCACGAATAATATACTAGATTGCCTACTTACAACCAGATGAGGATGATGATGGGCTCTAGCTGCAGTCTGGCTCCACTGGTCTGGTGCAGAACAGGCTCTCTGGAGGCGGTTTGTAACTGTGGTCACAAAAATCAATGTTCTGGGAGAACGGGAAGCAGCTCCATTTTTTTGGGGGTCCTTTACACAGCTCAAGGTCTGGGTCCCAGGGTCCACCTTCATGTTCCACCAATGAGTTTGTTCACAGGGGGTGGAGTGTGTAGGGGATGTCCTGATATGTGTGTAAGGAATGCATTGTGTGAAATTGTGTTTGTATGTGTAAGGGCTGCAAGGTGTGTTTCTGTGTATGTATGGGATGCATTGAATGTGTGTAAGGGGTGCATTGAGTGTGTGTAATGAATGCATTGTGTGTTTCTGTGTGTGTAAGGGATGCATTGTGTGTAACGGTTGCATTGCTTGTGTATGTGTGTGTGTGTGTGTGTGTGTAATGCATTGTGTGTGATGAATGTCAATCTCTCCTCCCGCTCCAATTTCCTTCTCCTCCTCCCAATTTCTCTTTCTCACCCCCCCTCCTAATTTCTCTCCCCCTCAATTTCTCTCCCCCCTCCTAATTTCTCTCTTTCTCACCCCCCTCCTAATTTCTCTCCCCCCCTAATTTCTCTTTCCCCCTCCTAATATCTCTTCCCCCCCTCCTAATTTCAATTTCTCTCCCCCCCTCCTAATTTCAATTTCTCTCCCCCCTCCTAATTTCTCTTTCTCACCCCCCTCCTAATTTCTCTCCCCCCCTCCTAGTTTCTCTTCCCCCTCCTAATTTCTCTCTCACCCCCGCCTCCTTTCTCTCTCACCCTCTTTCTCACCCCCCCTCATTTCTTTCACCCCCCCTCATTTCTCCTCTCTCACCCCCCCTTTTTCCTCTTTCTCACCCCCCCTTTTTCCTCTCACTCCCCCTCATTTCTCACCCCCCTTTTCCTCTCACCCCCTTTTCCTCTCACTTGCCTCTCACCCCCTCATTTCTCACCCCCCCTTTTCCTCCTCACCCCTCATTTCTCACCCCCTTTCCTCTCACCCCCCCCTCATTTCTCACCCCCCTTTTTCTCTCACCCCCTCATTTCTCACCCCCCTTTTCCTCTCACCCCATTTCCCTCTTTCTCACCCCCCCCTCCCCCCTCCCTCCCTGTAGCGTGGCCGAGCCTAGTATAGTCCGCGGGTACAGGGAGCAGCCGTTTCCTGTACCCGGCCGGACTAACAGGAAGTGAACACTGAGTGTGCACTTCCTATTAGTCCGGCCGGGTACAGGAGACAGCTGCTCTCTGTACCCGCGGACTATACAGGGCTCGGCCACGCTACAGAGAGGGAGCTGACAGGTGGGGCTGCCCTCCTGTCAGCCCCTCTCCTCAGGCTGCGCCCGGGCGGTGCGGTCCGCCCTCATGGACGCACCGCCCGGGCAAAGCTGCAGCCGCCTGAGGCTCACTACAGAGCGCTCGGGCGGCTGCAGCATGGGGGGGGCGGCGGGGCTGGCCATGGCACCCCCCACCCGGCTGGCACCCGGGGCGGACCGCCCCCCCCGCCCCCCCCTTAGTACGCCACTGTTTATATTACAGCCTAGTGACAACTTCACTGGCCACTCCTTAGATGGCTGTTAGAGATCCTTCCTGGATCATGGCTGCCTAAAATGCATCCAAACGTTCAGTGTCTCCTCCCTCTGCATGCAGACACTGAACTTTCCTTATAGAGATTCATTGATTCAATTCATCTCTAGAGGAGATGCTGATTGGCCA